AAAAGAATTGAATAAAAATGTCATTACAAGCACAATAACACTAAATTTCATCTATGCTTCTCTTTACGCACGGGCATGCATACTCTATACTTTGATAACATCAAAGAATAGAATATACAATGTGAAAGTTACATTTATTTTCAATTTTTTGTGAAACCGATAAGCGGTCCTTTATCATGTCACATCATGGATACTAATAACTCATATATATTGTGACAAAACAATCCTTAATCCTACTAGTTAGAGTAACACTATCCTGAGTCAACAAGACATGAGTTAACTTCTAATAGTTTACATGAGAAGGTGTTCAAAATTTCACATGAGTAGAATTCACATAAATGAACTTCGTTCAAACTTGTGTTCAGGACCCTGCGAGGTTTACAACGCATAAGAAGATTACAGGGATTTGTAAGAACCTAGCCCTTTCAACACAAGTGTCTCATATGAATGTATTTATGTTTTTAACCATAAGCTCAATCATCCTCATAAATCTCATTTTACATGAATGCATGTAATTTTGCTTCATCTCACAACATGGCGTATTTGAAGCCCAAAAACAGTAAATTTATGTACTCTACTGAAGATAGGATACTTATAAAATATCTGATAGACTAGATAAAAAAAAATATAAGTATTGGACATACCAGTGTTGTAAGATACACTTCTGTAAAGATATTATTGTGATGTATCTGGACTTATGTTTCAATATAATCTTCCTAGGGTACGGTCTGATGGTTCTTTTTCTTTTTCTCATCCACGGGCCCGGCTGGTCAAAGATGACAACAGGATGGCATGCAGACTACTTTCAGTCGGTAGGCGTTGAGGAGAGAGGCGGAGTTCTGGAGAGCATCTCAGAAACTACCGCGAGGCAAGCAAATACTTGAAAAAACTAGCCAATATTATAACCATTATAATTTCGGCTATGCATTAAGAGATTAAAACATCGACGATTACTATTTCGACTCTAAAAAGTAGTGAAGCGTGAGGCGAGAAGAGCAATATTGCAACGAGCAGGTCTTCCCTAATTTATACGGTTTGCATAAATCAGCACTTGGCCTCGTCTCACCAAAGCCTTTTTTTTTTTCAAACTAGCACGGTTCTTACACTGCATTCCACCACTACTTCACGTCTACTTGTGTAAATTGTGATACATTACCCGAACTTGCATATTCGAACACTGGAAGAGCTTCGATTCCTATTATAGCAAACCAAGTAAATAGCAGATCACCTTGGTTCAATTTTATATTGTTTACAAGTCTTGTCAACACGATAATTATTTCAAAAGTGGCTTGTGAGACGAAACGGGTTTGGTGTCCAAGAAAGGTACACTTGCTATGTGTGGAAAGTCCTAGAACGCATGGGGTGGACCAGACAAATGGAGTTGCTGTTGGCAGAGACGTTATAATCCTATCGGTATAGTATAAAACCAATGTCACAGTAAATGACAAAAAGTTTGGGAAGACACCATCAAGCACAACAGGTTTGAAACCACGTGTGCTACACGGAACTAGGGCCTGGTCCCATGTTTGATATCTTGGGCACAATAATATATATGACATGAAGCTATAAAATATATTAGCCCTTGTGTAACATGGGACTAGGCCCTAGTCCCAAATACCAAAGAAACAAAATATCACTGCTGTCTTCTATCTGTCGTATAATACGACAAACCATATAGAGTGATACCACTTCATCTACCAGAGTACACTAAGAGATGGGTACTAAGTTCGATACACTTTCTCCAAAAGATCTGAAGTGTGTCTAAGACTATAGTTCCGGATGCGTATGAAGGTAGATGAGAAGAGTGAGCTCTCCGTATACTCTAATGATTGGAGATATTTGCTGTTGCCATCACTCCATTGTCACCTATCCATTGGCAGCGATCGTCACTCCGATAGTGTTAGGAGTATTATTCATAGCTACCACGTTTAGAACTTCATCCTCGCATTGAAAGAAATATACTTTTAGTAAGTTTGTCACGACGCTATGAGCAATCCACGAACAACGATCATAGTTGTCAGGAAGTTTACTTGTGGAGTGAAGCCACATGCTTTGATTAGAACGAGCGGAATATCGATTTAGAGATCTCAACGTCAGACTCATACAGAGGTGAAATTAGAGGGTTCTTTCGAGGCAACCAGACTGACGTCAATCTTAGGTAGATTGGTTCAAAAGTCCGGACCCCGTGTCTGTGTTCTTTATCAGGCCGAGGCAGTATGTATAGTACAGGTAGTCTTCAGGTCTCAGGTGGAGAGAAACGATGATTTTGACGATAACCTTCCTGCTTCAGCTGGTAAGGAGGTACATTCTCTTTGATATATTAGTAGCGATAAATATTTACATCCTCTACTCCGTTTGCCCTATGTTAGTCAGAGTGTACTATAGCGTCCATTTGTCTTACCAACATTGCCTTTCTAGAAACACTAGAGCTTGCTCGCAGTGTCAAATGGCCGCAGATGGCACAGTTACTATGCATGCGCGTTTGCACTTCTAAACAGTTTGAATGACCCATGAATGTCCGGAGTAAACACGGGTTTTATTTCTTTTCGAAAACTTCAAATAATTCGAGTTAGTTGATATACATCGAGCAGAAAAACATCTGTGCTGTAGTTACTACTGAAAGGCTGTCTGCAATGAAACGTCTGATCTGGCGAATGCAGCAGCCAGTAGATAATCTGTACCGCATTTGTTAATGGTCTCTGGTTGAGCAGCATTAGAGCCCAAATGTTACCCGTTTATTAAACCCATGCCTACTAAAGAATTCTAATAAGAAGTTCCCACAATTTTTCTAGGAAACAGAACTTTGTTTCGAATCTCCTGGGCATTGGGATTGGATTCAGAACTTCTTCAAAGTCCATGGGCAAAAGGTTGATGAAGATCAGCGTTAGCCAGCCCAGAAATGCTCTTGAATCAGAGTTTCAGTTTGCATCCTGCTGTGTCTGAAGGCACAACTCACTATGGAAAACGACTACGTGGATGAGTTTATCTCATATCTTTGATCAGATATCCAGCACAGCTTCCAATGGTCTGTTAAGAGGATATTCCTCCATGAAATTATTATTTAGTCAGAAAATTACTTCATGAAAATTTCAAATTGTTTTTTGTATGTTATTAGTAAAAATTATGTATTTTATACTTTATGAATTATGACATTCATTCAAAGTACTCTTATATCGACTTTTATTCACGCATTTGATAGAAGTTTATTATTTTATATTTTCATATATTTATATCTAAAAAATGATGAAATACAGTGCGACTTTATTACGTAAAAGTTCACAGTATACTTTAAAAGTTTTGTTATAGTATTGAAATAAGTACAAATAACAACTACAAAGTTTCAGAAGTTTTAGGATTGTGTAACATTATTAATACGAGTTCCAAGTACAGTCTTGATAAAGACCCTACAATACTATAGTCGCTCATTTTTTTCAGCTTGATTGTTGAAGAAATTCGTGTCTTCTGATGATGTAAGTAATCATTTATATCATCAGAAGATGTAGCTATCCTAAGGTGAAAATAATAGCCCCGTTTTGGATGAAACTGCTACTTGTCTAGCATGGATTGAACATTGCATGTGTCACTTTAAAGATGAGATAAGGGTGATGACAAGAGGGGTGACTCACCCCTCTCCTCGTCACCCTTATGTCATCTTTAAAGTAAGCTTTTGCAAATATTATAAATACCGATTGTAATCGGCACACGCAAGAGCTTTGGATGCTCAATATCCTGAAGGCATCTTCATAAGTATCATGCATTAGGTGATCAAATCTTGAACACGTACGAAAACAAGTACCATCTTCTTTCATTCTGTCCTAACATAGATGTACGTAAGCATGTTATCAAGCGACTGTTCTATCCAACAAAATGAGTCGACCCAACATTGGCTATAATTTACAGCCAAAATCTTCTTTAATTATTCCATTCGCAAATTCGGAGGTCCGTTACACTCATTTCCATCATCCTGCAATAATTTGACCCATGACAGTGCTAAATGTGACTATAGTGTTATATTTTGATATTGTAGACTATGTTGGAACAATGGATTCTAATTCATCACCAAGCGAACCAATGTCTTTACTCTGGTGTAGCCACATGTTGCTACTAGTCTTCATAGGTTGTGAAAAATTCATAGGATCAGACTCTAGATAACGATACCTGATACAATAATAGCATCGACTCGAAACTCAACGATAACTTCATCTGACTTCTCAACCATCTGTCAATCATCATGAAATGTAAAGTTAGTAACTTCGTTACATTTAATATTCTGATGCATGACACGTACATGGATAGCGTGAATATAAGAGAAGTACATCATTACATATCATTGAACACCATAGAACGAACTCGTGTACAGTTGATAGAATTATCTTTTTTAAGCTTTCCAAACCACGAAGGGCCAACACACCGATATCCTTTACAGAACTCATAACAGATTGTTGTTCATATGGAGACTGGAAGAGACTGGAATTATCACAGACTTTGCCAAGGAGGCAGTCAAACTTGATCGACACTAGAATAATTGTCTGTAATACGAGTCTAGACTGTCTAATTGATCTGATCCAGAGAAGAGCTTTGTGGTGTCAGCGTTATTTCTTACGCATTTATTTTTCTCTTACATACCCCATAATATTGCATGCCCTCAAGCGAGGTCGACGTTGAATTCAGCTCAGGCATGCCCATGGCCGCCCTCGTTTATGTCTTCACTCATCACATGCTTGCTTTTTCTCGAAATAACCGCAGAGCTATGTCTGCCAACTAACCCGCGTTCTTTTCTAGCAGGGAGGGACATGTTCGTCTGAAGGTCCTCTCCCAATATAAACGCGAGCCCGAACTCATGCATCACTACCAACGCCAGCGAGAAAATCTAAGATACTGGGGAGGAGCTTCGAGGTTCAAGAGGTAAGACCAACATGTGCAACTCCATTGGTAACCGAAGCTGATGTCCATTAATTGCAGAGGGCCTCGTGACTGACTTACCTCTCTTGAGTACTGCAGAACATTCGTTTGAGGATTTTTCTGTCGTTCGTGATGACATTAGAGATGTATATGTGGTGAGAGTACAGATGTCACCCAAACGAGCGACAAAAACTGCGGTAGTCAAAGACCTATATGCCGTTCTTGTCTCCTTATCATTAATCAGTCAAAAAATAAGAAACAGTTTGATAATCACGCTGGCAACCTTTGCATTTCCTAAATCCGTATCTCCTGCAAGCTGCATCATGATTATAGTGAGAAACACTATTTTTCTCCGCAAAAATATGTGAATACAATCTGTTCGTCACTAGTTCACGTCTATATATTTTTGAGCTTAAAAGAGGCGTTTTGGTCATTTACACAGATTTCTGACAGATTCGAATTGCGACGTGCTCGCAGATAATCTGGTTCAAGATAAGCGCTCTACAGCCATGGATCACATGCCCTTGAGGAGTAATTCAAAAGTGAATACATCGTACTGCAAGTATGTCATGAACTACTATGAGTTCATACCAGCCGGCGACACAGAAGTTTTCAAGCCCTTGGCAGCTGATCCGGTTCCGAACAAAGGAATAGGCTACATCAAGAACAATCTCTTATACTCCCAAGGGACAAAAAAAAGTTTACGGGCATATTGGTGGGTTGTACTTTTAAAAAACAGAGGACGTGATCGAGAATGTGGTGACAATTACTTTCTCTGAGGGCTTGGTCCGACCGTGGGGAGGCAGCTCGATCAGCTTGTGAGGCTCGTGGTTCATGACTCCAGACGGTCAAGCTGATCTTGATAACCAGGAGCTGGCCATCGTGGGTGGACAGGGCCAATTCAGAGGTGCCACGGGTTTTGTCAAGTACGAGAAAGTGGAGAAGAATCCGCAAACCGTGTACCATGTCACTTGCCACATCTATGTTCCTGACTTCTTCTGCTGTGATCACGAAATTGAAATCAACATCAACGAGCTGCGCGAAGCTGATGCCAAACCGTGCGACTTTCACGATCATGGAGATGATCGTGGTCATGATCGTAGCTTTGATGGTCATTATCGAAGAGAGTAGGGCGACCGCTTGAAGGTCCCATGGCTGCTGGAAGTGAATCCGACTTGTCTGCCGTTTTGCGACGATACTCTGGCGGTGGTGTGAGGCAGATACGACAAGCATGGAGTTGTTTTCCCCGACAAAGTTTGTGAGCTTTATCAGACAGTACCTTTTCAGTAGAATTATATTCTGTATATTCACACAGGCATATGTAGTTCCGGAATTTAGTATAGAACTCATACTAGGCTTGCATATCCTATTAGGCCCATTTGAAGTCATCTGCTTTTCCATAATTTTGGCTCGATGCAACAACGCGACAACCAGAGGCACACGATTACATGCCAAATCATGCCTATTCAGATGGCTCTAGGTAACTAAGACCGCTAGGTTCAGTTGACTTCGAAAGCTGCTGTGCGTGCTCCAGGTCCACCTGGTCTTGGACCATTTCACACTCACGATCCAGACCAGGGGTCTCAACATTCCTCCCGTTGAAGAGTTTGACGTCATGGATGGCTCGGGAGCCTATGTGTCCAATATGCCTAGGTATAAATTGAAATGATGTTCTTTACACGACATATATCGCTTGCTGACTATCGATGTCAAATAGAGTTAAATTTTTAGATTCTTCTCATTTTCCATCATACAATTTCATCTCGTGACAGCCTCAAGTACTTCTGATTCCTTCTATGATATGTAATCTCATCATTTCCAAGAGTGGTCATCGATCAAACTAAAATACTAGTGTTTCCCACCCTAAGAAAAATAAGCAATACCCTCCTTATTTGATGGTATTGCTAGATTAGTGACTAGAGTCCATCAAAATCGATTTCTTGAGATGGAGATTTATTGCCAGAAGCCACGTCCTTCGACAACCCACAATTTGATATAAAGAGCAGTGAAACCTCCATTCCAACTCACACTGCTGCCTCTTCGTAAAGATTCTCCTTCTGATCAAACATTCTTCGTCGTTCTCGTCCTACATTGACATATCTTGTATCTCCTGGTGCCCAGTCAACGGAATGGCTCCATACAGTAGCTCTGCCATTCTCAGCACGTTGTTCCTGCTTCTATGCACCTACTTTGCTCACTGCAGATGCTGCTCTGCGTGCTCCAGATGTGACAATCTACATATTCCAGACCAATCCTCTAGTAGCTAACGCACCTGCAGTGGCAATTTATCCACCAGGTATCCTAGCACCATATCCAGTCGGGATACCTATCGTCACTGTGGGCGACCAGCCTATCAGACTGACTGCTTCGGGACAATCACAAAGTGTCGGCAGTCAGAGGGTCATTCGTCTCACGGGAGATACGCAAGATGATCAAGCCTGGATTCAATCAACTGGAGTCTTGGACCTGAAGATAAGTGGTCGGAATGGGACCATGTCATACTCAGGTATTAACAGCCTTTCCACGGATATCAATATTCCTACAGCTGAAGATCTGTGCATCACTAGTGGCACGGAGCCTATGAGTCTGCAAGCGGTCGCTCCAAGATTAGTCTCATCAGTGTATCCGGCTATAAGACAAACGTGGAATGGGAGCTGTACCTTTGCTACCCAGAACTGTGCAAGGTATATTCCTTCTTGGGCTAGTGCCGATAAGAAGATAGCAGATGAGAATCCATCCAAGGGGCCATTACAAGCCCCACGCAACGGGGGAGTATCCTCTTAACAGACCCTTGGAAGCTGTGCTGGATATTTGATCAAAGGTATGAGATAAAATCATCCAGATAGTCGTTTTCCATAGTGAGTTGTGCCTTTAGACACACCAGGAAGCAAACTGAAACTCTGATTCAAGAGCATTTCTGGGCTGGCTAACGCTGATCTTCATCAAGCCTAATGCCCATGAGATTCGAATCAAAGTTCTGTTTCCTGGGAACTTCTTATTAGAATTCTTTAGTAAGCATGGGTTTAATAAACGGGTAACAGTCGGGCTTTGATGCTGCTCAACCAGAGACCATTAATAAATGCGGTACAGATTATTTACTGGCTGCTGCGTTCGCAAAATCAGACGTTTCAGTGTAGACGTCATTTCAGTGGTAATTACAGCACATATTGCACATATTATATGTAAACTAACTCGAAGTATTTGAAGTTTTCGATAAGAGTAAAACCCCTGTTCAATCCGGACATTCATGGTTAATACAAATTCTTTAGAAGTGCAAACGCGCATGCATGGTAAATTTCCAACCTTATACCATTCAAGATACGTGTAGTATACATAATGTTTGAAGTCAAAAGCTCGCTTCGCTGCAAGATGTGAAGATAGGGATGCAGCAAGCGGCGCTGCTTTTGTTCCGCACGTTTTCATTTCAATGGGAGGTGAAAGATCTAAAACGGAAATCAGCTATGTAATGTCTATTACCCTGCACTTGTAGTCAGGTTGACCTCATGGGCTGCGGCAATTTGTATATCAATGTCTTGTCAGACCAGACTGATCGTGCTCGCTTTGGTGGGGACCTTCTCTTTGCGTGTTCATTCGAATATCAACTGTCATTCTTCGTGCGACAGTCCATCTCCTATTTGTTCGGATTCTGCGAACAACTTTCCCAGTACTGTACTGATTGGGTTTTTCCAAGCCAGTTTCTGACACATCCACTGAGCTTTAAACTACCTTACCAAAACGTATATGGAAATATCATCGAACATTAAATAAACGCAGTGAGTGATTTTTATTGTAGTCGAGACACTGAGAAAAAGGAACAATGTGCTGAGAATGGTGGAGCTGCTGTATGAACCCATTCCGTCGACCCAGGCACCAAGGTATGAAATGGAGATTCTCTGCGAAGAGGCAGGAGTTGTAGGCGAACGGAGCAGTCACCAGCCTCTATATCCATTTTCGGAATGCTCAAGGACGCAATGATTCCCTATATCATGTTCGAAAGTGGTTGCCAGATCCTCGACCCTCGACAGCGTTCCATCTTCGAAGGAAAAATTCTCAGTATTTTGTCTGACTGGATTGACAACGGCCCTGACCGTTGCACTGCGTATAATTTCCACGGACTGCAGGCGGCGCTCCCAATTCCTCAGATCGTAATGATTCATGGAGCAGAAAGTATATGTATCAGTCTATCCTCCTTTCGTGTGGACCTGGAAAGTCGTGAATCTCTCTCGGACTCTTGCGTTCTCCGAAGTCCAAGGGCTGAGTAACCGATGGACCGACCTTTCTGAGTCTCTGGGGTCGTTGACAGTTTTGCTCCTCAGCTCTGGGCGTCACTTGAATGATCTTCACCAAAGTCGGTCCGTACGTTGAAAACTTGAACTGCCTAAGATTGTTATTGCGGATAGGAGTCTGAGAGAGTGTCACTCTTGCTGGTTGCTGTCACCCGATCCCACTCAAGGATGTGTTTCTCTTTGTGAGCGACTAGAGCCATTCACTTCAACCTTCCACTTGGGGGTGTTGTCGGGGTTGTCTCGATCTCAAGCTCAGGCACAAACGGATACAGATGAGGACCAAGGTTTGTTGTCTGTGAGAACCCACAGTGCTCATCCTGATTCGGTGCATAATGCAGTCAAGTAATCGAGGGAAACATGATTTTTCCGATGAAGAGGTGTTCATCTGTATAGTTTCTCCATCATTATCCAGTGGGAATTTCTATTTAATCAAATATGTAAAGAGGCTTTTGCGCTGCACTTCCTTAATCCTTCCTCACATAAATTCTGATGCTTTATTGAAAAAGCTCCAGGGCTTTCAAAAGCTACGGTCTTCTCTTTCCTGGTGTATGTGATTTTTTACAGTACTGTATAAGCTGCTCCATCCTGTTGTTCGGGAACAATGCCGCATGCATCGCCCAAGAGATCATATGCCAGCAACATTCACGAAGATTGTGCTAAACGTATTGCTCGAATATTCTATTCGTCACATGAATTGTTGACGAACGTGAAGCAGTACAGTCCTCAAGGGATTTGGGGGCTTGGTTACAGAGTCTCCTTCATTGACAAACGGACGAAACCTTTGAGATGAGATGGAGCTTCGAAAAGACTTCGGGAATTCTTCTTTTGAAAATATTATTTCAAGGGTACAAGAGGCATGATGGGATGTGCCGTGGGATTATCTTCCATAATAGGGGAGTCTTTTGTGGGATTAGATCGTGATCACGGCTAAATAGCAGAAATAATTGTGAAGAACTTCAGCTGCATTTCTGTAGCGGCATCCATTGACTGAGTGTTTTCTTACTTCACGTAGGTGAAATTTTTGCTACGCTTATGAGCTTCCAGGTTGCTGAAGTGTACATGAAAATACTGCTGCAGGTTATGTCTCATCAGGTCGGAATGCCAAGTGGACTGTTACAGCATGTGGGTGTGGAAGACGAAATCTACATGCTACTGTGAGACGCAGAGATAAAGTTGTGTATCCATCTGTTACAGAGGAGCTCGCATTTCCACCAATCCTCTTCCGTGTCATGACTTCCAATCTTTCGATAGCATGTGGGTACACAAATTTGCAACGATGAAGTTGTCGGTTTAGTTGGTCCATATTATATTAAATTGGCATTTTCTTCTCAATTCAAGTTGTTAATAAATTTAAAGGGTTTAATATCTATTTTGTGTGTTTTAGACGCTAACAATGGCTTTTGTTTACCTTACAATATTCTCATGGGTTCGTGAGGGATTATTTTTAATATAATATTATTTTTGAACGGAAGATTTTAGCATAAGATTTATAAAATGCTCCGAAAACCGTACTTGATTGAGGTCATTTAAAAGGGAAAAAAAATCAAGTTTCTTGAGGACTTTGTTTATTTATTTCAAATTTATTTTACATCTTTTAAAAGTAAAAAGTATTTAATAAAATATAGATAAATAAACTAATATTTTAAGTTTAAATATTAATCGTATAGAAAAAATCTAAAAATTCTACAAACATTTAAATAAACTTTTCAACTAATTTTTTTTAAATTCAATTTTTAATTATGTTCAGTGACAATGTTCTTATGTATTTAATTTTTACATTTTAAAATTTCATTTTTTATGAATAAATTTTATTTTTAATCTAGAAATTTAAATTTTTGGTTCAAAATCAATCTAAACTTTTATATTCTGTTTTTTTTTTTCGTAGTTTTTATCATCAATTATCAATCACAATTTTTCTATCCATCAAAAAATCTGTGTTAAAGCGATAAAAGTGTGAAGTGAGTTCATTGTTGATATTTATTTTTATAAAGTATTTCATTATTATTGAAAAGTTGTTGCAGCATGTATTGTCTTTTCTATGGTACTAATCAAGAGTGGCAATATGATATATTTTACTGCTTACGTTACATAACTGATTGTCATGATTGCTAATTTTCTTTAAGACATTTATTTATTTTCAGAATTTTTCAAAAAACTTGAAATTGATAATCATCAAAATTATTCTCTTCCTAGTTTCAGGATTATATAGAACATTGAATATTAAATAAAAGTATTATTTGAAAGAGAATTATGAATTTTCGAAAATTCATAAAGCCTAAAATGATTGTAATCTTTTATATACATATTACTTTAAAGTATTCAAGAGGAACAAAGTTAAATATCATTATCCCTCTCACTCTCAGTATATAAATAACATTATAAACTTAAGAA